TGAAAGGCTGCTCCAACAGGAACTTCTTGTTCCTGAGGAAAACACGAACACGGTGTACAATCGAGTCTTAATAGCTTACTTACAACTGGGCTCGTCAGGCACTCTTCTTGGCTGCAGTGGTTATTATTATATTTACATGCTTCCAGCTCCCGTTTCTGCTCGATGATAACTCATACTTTTCCACTCTCCTTTTTCTCCCTCCTCACGCTCACAGACACATAACAGGTATGGCAATCCATTCTCTTTTTTTTTTTTTCTTTTTTTTTTTTTGCCTGTCCCGTTTGGCTCTTTTGCCATCAGAATTATTGTCTAAAGGCGAAGAAAGATGCCCAACGGATTTTCTTTACCAAATTGACCATCCCAGCCTTGCCGTAATGGTCCATTTGATTCACCTTTTATTGTCTATTTTATTTTCACTTGCTGAATACAGGACAGGCTTGACTGGGGGAAAGAAAGAGGGAAAGAAAAACAGCTGAGAAGAGGGACGGGGGAGAAGGGCAAAAAACAAAAACCAACAGAATAAGCAGAGAGGGCATGAAGCAGGTATGGAGGAGATCAAAACTCCAGACATCCAGAGGCCCCCAGAACACAAGAGACCAAGGAAGACCAACAGAGGGGCAGCCGCGCCACTGTCCCAGAAAGAGCTGAGGAGAGTCCCAGATGAGGGTTCACTCAGCAGCCGCGGAGCAGAAGCCAGGGGGGGGGTTGCAGTGACGCGCCCGTGAGCTCCGCCGGCAGCCAGCTGTGCCTGAGTGACCGAGCCCCAGGCCGAGAGGCCGGGGGCACCCCACCTCCGAAGTGGCCCGAGCGAGCCCCAGGCTCCAGGCCCCGATAAGCGGCCGCCAAGGAGTGAGCCGGTATGTACCTGGACACCCATCCCCGGACACAAAGAACCACCAACGCACCGATGTCTGAGGAAGTCCGCCACTGGCAGGGGAAGTGGTGGTAGGGGGAGATAGGCCTCCAAACCTTGGAGGGCCTGAGATGTCCCCAGAGAGTTGGCGTCTGATACCCAACCTGACATATAGACACAGACATACAGGCACACACAGATACAAACATCCATTCCCACCCTCATGCTCTCATATGCACTTACTCCACACTCAACCAACGTGGAGACAGACATAAAGAGACGCTGTACACACAATCACACTCCCCAAGCGTACTCTACGAACCGGGCCTAGGTGCCCTTGCCCCGGAGGGGGGAACTGCACCCAGACCCAGTTACCCTTTTCCCTGCGGTGGGGAGAAGCAGACCGCCCCGACTCCGCAGCAGCAGGGAGGCCCCACATTCCAGACCCCAGTCGGACGGCCAACTCCTCCTCCTAGCTCCCCGCTCCAGCAGGCCGCAGAGAACGGGGGTGAGAGAACACTCCAAACCACAATCCATTCTCCCTGCAGCACGGACAACACTGCCCATGAGGCTACATTCTTTAGGGCTGCCTGTAACATTCTGCCTATCCAGTCGTTAAGTCTGACGTCACTAGCCGTGTCTGGGCCTAAACTCCGCTGCAGGTCCATATATCAAACGATCACTATGGCATTACTGAGAGTTGAAAAACTGTCTAAAGTCTTTCATCTTTAATAAAATGATCAGCGTTCTGCTCTATCAGGTGTAACAATTGAGTTTAACATCCAGGCATCCATGAAAACAGAATTTATGACATTTAACGGAGTTAGAAGTTAGCAGGAAGCTATCTAAATACAATATAGCATGTCCTGACTGCGGGGTTTTGGAAACAAATTAAAACGTACAGCTCTGTTATCACTTCCAACATAAATGAAGACAGAAAACTAAACAGCAGTGACGTTTGCAGGGTTACTGAAGTTTGGCTAGCTGGTATATAATGATGTGCTACGTGATCGCTAGCGACACAGCTATGTTAGCATAATATAAACAAGCTAACTTTATTTCCACTCAATAAAAGTTAACGTGAGTGTTCTCGGTGGTCAGGAACAAATGCAATCGCATGGCAGGATGCTGTAAAAGGACCAAACTTCAGCCAGGAGAACAACTGAGATAATCCATCCACAATACGAGGTTAGTTAGATCCTAAGGTTTTAAACACTGAGCTTAAGTAAATGATTAGCGGTAATAAAAGCAGAGGGAGGTTAACAGTGACACTGACTGTTTTAGGAGCTTTTTGAGATTAAATAGAAGAAAATACAAAACCACCACAAAAACCATATTAAACGCAGACTACTTTAGGCCTGGAAGTAGGATTCGTCATGTCATTACTTAACGACCGGATTAGCTTAGCACAACAACAACAACAACAAAAAGGCGCTCTCTCACCCAGGGAACACACAGAGAGAGAGCGTCACCCTGTAACCATGGAAACCGTAACGCTGCCGCCTGGAACAACAGAAAATAGCTGTCAAACAAAACCCAAACAGTCCTGACCCGCGACAATAGGAAACAGGAAAATACAGCTGTGTAATCCATTTATTTCAACAATGTAACTGTATTCTAAATACCACCTTTTTAAATGACAACTGTAACGGAATACAGTTACTCATATTTTGTATTTTAAATACGTAACGGCGGTACATGTATTCCGTTACTCCCCAACACTGCATTTGGGCATTCTACAGTACTTAAGGGCCATCGTAGTGTCCTGACACAATCATGGTGCATCATACATAATGTTGCTGTTTTTGCTATCTTTTACTGACCTTGTAAAGGTTTAGTTCAGTTTCGTTTTATTACATTCATTTGTCATGGTCTATGCACAGAAAGTCTTACTCTCATTATCCTCATTTTACAATCTTAAGTGTAGCTATTAGCTAATTTCAGGCATGCATACAAAATACATTTCCACAGCATATGAAAGGATTTTTAATACGATTTTTGTTATTGTGCTTGGCTAATTTTGTGGCAAATCAACCTGATAAATAATACATTCGTAAAGTGCAATTGCCAAATAGTGCCTTTTCCAACAGCAGGGGACAGAAGCAGCATGCACCTGGTGATAGGCCGCCTCCCGCCAGATGGACTGTGAAATTTTCTTGTGATCAATTTAAACCTCAGCAAGAGGCTGCAACTACCAATTTCTCCTAGTCGTAAGGAGGTTGTTGTTAGTCTGAATTTCTTTAAACCTACATTCTCCATCCTATAGTTTTCCAGTCCTATAGAAGTCACAGGGGAAAATGTCTTTATGTCTTGACCTCTGTTAACCCACTTGCCTGCCATGTTTATGTCCTCAGTCACTCATTTGGATCATATTGAATGAATGGAAGAATTTTTAGATCTTTGTCATTGAGGAAGCAGTTTCGGACTCAGACCCGCTCCTCATGTTGCATCTAGGGTTTTTATAAACCTAACAAAAATCTTTTAAATGCTAATCTTGAGGCTTTGAAATAAAATGTAAGAAACAACAGGTGACATGACAGTAGCTACATCCATTTTTTATACAGCAGAGGTAGAGTGGAGAGTCGTATACAAACAGGTGTAGTAGCTAACATGACTCGCTAATTTGCTGCCATAGAGACCTGACGTTTTATGGTAAGTGTTAAGTAGTGCAGATAATGCACCAGAGTGAAAGTCTCCAACTTAGTCAGCAATATGTTGCTAGTTTTTCCCAGACACTACCACACTATACAGGCTGTATGCCCTGTTTGGTAGAATGTTACCCGTTTTACAGGCTAGAGGTTAAAAGTATGAACTGCACAAAAGTGGGCTCACTTTATAATGTTGTCGGATGCACTTGGAAAAGTAGCCTCATCCTTCTAAATACATTAGATCTTTAGACTAATGCACACGCATCACCCTCTTAACTATTTAAAAGCCCTTTTTTCTGTGAGTTTAACCAGACCAACATGTCTGGAAGAGGCTTCTTTGATCTTTATTTTTAGTCACATGGCCAAAAGCGTAACCGCACCACTCGGCTACATCCCGGGGGGGAGCCAGATCTCACCACTCCACCACAGACGGTTTGGATCAGAGTCATCTCTGGGGGGGAATGAAAAGGCTTAGTCCAATTAATGGTTGAGATGCCCCCTTCAAGAGCAGCTGCACTACATGTAGCCACCACCACACCCAAAATGAGCCACATGCCAAAGTGTGGTGTCTCAGCGTGCTAAATATATCTGCAAATTGTGCTGTTCGTATTAATATACTCTTTTCTCTGATGTTGTGTTATGCAACAAGTAGCCTGTAGCTGTAGAGAGCATTGTCAGCATTTGGCATCATTATGTGTCAGTGAATCGTCGTCTGTTCAGGTTATACCAGGGCAACATACGGGGGTGGACACAGTAAAAGCTACAGCACAGCAATAACAGCTACCCTTTCCTCCACAGTGTTTTGTTTCTGTTACCGGTACACTAATTTATTTTTGTTTCACTTTTTAGAATGTAAGGCATTTATTTGAGTTCCATGAAGTGCTACCCTCCCTCTCCCCAACAATGTTTAATTTAAAATTTATGCCAGATGTCTTGTGAGGTCTTTTTTTTTTTAACTAAAGTTTCTTGAACATTTGAAAATGGAGTAGGGTGGGGGGTGTATTTCTTAAAAAAATGGAACCTAACTATTTAAAACAATGACAAACCACCAAAGTTCTCTACTTTTCCATGAAATTACAACAAAACAAAGACCAAAAAAGCCACATTTGTTTTAGGAGTTTTACAGTTTGACAGTTTAAATATTCACTGGAGTTTATAAGCATCATCTCAGTGGTCTGACTGTTCTTGAACAAGGAAATATAAGTCTAAAATTTATGTAAAGCATTCTTGGTTCTAGGTTTCGACCATAATGTTTCCCTCACAATGTGGACATATTGTACACATAGTTAACCATGCAAAGCCATTTCCATGTCATCTTTAACCTGCTTATTAATTATTGTATCTGAACCTCAGTGATGTATTTTTTTTACGCAACACACAAAAACTTTCTTTTATGTTGTTACTTATGTTATATGAAGACTAATTTTGTTAGTGAATGTACTGTAAGCATTCAAAAGATAGATGATGGCAAAAACAAATCATTTTTTCCACATTTTTATTGCCAGTCATTTACCTCTTATACAACATAGTGATGTCTGTAATGGGAAAACATTTAATCATTATTTATAACATTAAACACATAACATGTATCGCAACAACATGTAAGTCTGCTTTTAATGATGATTTTTATGTAAATTAAGTAAAAAATCAACAATGTAAAATAGTGTATGACTTCTTTTCTGGCCCTGAACTCCAAGTTCACTTAATATGTAAATGTTTAACAACAATTCAAGAAAAAAAAGTTATTCTAATACCAGCTGTATGTAATTTAATCACACAGAACAACAGCTATGCCGAAACAGAGAAGAAAAAAAATTAAGTAATTTTTACTTCCCCGCTAAATAGATAAAGTCCTAAAATCATCTATCTTATTATATGTCACAGTTCTAATTATTTGTGATGTTGGCTCTAGATAAATAAAAAAGGAAGTGAAATTGATGATCAGAGTTTACTTCTTAAAAAGCCATGCACCATGCAGTTTAAACATTGCCTGTATGTGTCCTTCCACAGTTAAAAGTTCAGTTAACTGATGACTGTAAATTGGCCGTAAGTCTACATGGTTGTCTGTCTCCCTGTTAGCGCTATGATATTCTGCCAGCTTGTCAACTGTGATAGCTTGTAGGGCCCCAGTGACCAGAGTCAGGAAAGCAAATATGAATGTGGATAGATGGAAGATTTGGCTGATGGAAAATAAAATGCAGTGGACGAAATGTAAAAATACCTCTCACCACTGACTTCTTTTGTGGCCCTCAAGTCCAAAACTCTTGCCTTCCATTTGTAAATTAAATTGTAATTAATTTGTAATTTATTCATTTTGAAAATTTTAAAACAATAATGATAATAGTCTGAAAATGTCAATTATCTTAAATGCTATTAATTTACATTTTAAATTATATTTTGACTAAGATGTGACACAGAAAATATGCAGTATTTAGCCAAAATAAACAAGAATGTGTTTTTTCATATTAACCAGTCCAAAACTCTTTTTTTTTTTTATCAGTTCTGGGCAAAAACAAAACTCTTTGGAACAGATGAATATGGTAAGTTAAAATCATCAGGATTTGGCTTCAAAGACAATACTTAGGGTAATTAATTGCTCATTTTCTCCAATATTAGAAGCATTTTGTGTCAGAGTGATGCTGAAAAACTATTCCATGGATTTGTTACTTCCAGGCTGGATTATTGCTATTTTTCTTTACCCTACAAAATAAAGGACATAGAGGCTACTGTCATTGTGATTTGGTGCCATATAAATAAAACTGAATTGAAATGAACTTGTGTGGGTGTTTTTTATGATGACAGAGCCAAAAATCTGGAATATTGTCTATTAATAAACTTAAGAACCCCAGTCCAAACCTTTAGTTAACACTGTAAGTCATGTTGATCTTATTTCTCACAAATATAATTTTGTGCTGCGAAACAGCCATCGTCATTCCATGATCCTTTATCAGTTGAAACATATTCTCCACAGTCCTGGCTTTTGAAGTCATTAGGCTGCCCAGGCTGCCAGTATCTGATGAATAAGGTAAGAGAGAGAAATCATTTTCTCCACTTTGTCGCTATAAGAAACAAATTCACTCCTACATTGTGATTGTTTGGTGCCTCAGTCTGTCTTTTTAATTTAACTCTCATTTGCAAAAGTAGAAATAATACTGTGCACTTCTGCATTCATCCTTTCCTTACATTTCCTGTTGCTGAATTGTTGGATAGATATTAAAGTTTTTGGCAGAGTTCAGTTCAACAACAGAATACAAGACTGATCTTTGTACAGTCAAGTTGTACATAAAAGTTTGATAAATGAACCTTACATTTAGAAAATGTGTAAAGTTAGATCCTTTTTGTTCAGGTTTGTGTATTTAAACTCACTCTATGGTAATAGGGGTCCCATCCACCCAGGTCCAAACCCCCTCTGTAAGTGTGTCAGTGAGGCCAATCCAAGCATTTTGCCTCTCGCTCTTGTCCAGTAATTCGTTGACAAAAAGCTGTTAGAGTCGCACAAACAAAAGACTGATGACATTACTGTTAGGGGGTGATCTTGATCTAAATTGGAATATATAATAAATGGACTGGTACAGACAATTTCTACACATTTCAGTTTTGTAAAAAAAAATTTGAATGACCCGTAGAGCCACGATGACAGTCATTTGTCTTTGGGATAGAGACTCATGTCTCCAACAAGATGGATTATAACAGTATTAATGATCCTTTAATTTTTTGTTTTAGTTCCATCACCTAATGGAGTTCTTGCAACACTGCAGTCATCTTTAACTGTACATGCAAACCTTAGCAACCCAGTACAAAGATGGAAAAAATTCTTGCAATCATTGGCAACGTTTAGCGATTCTAATTCTGCCTTTGTTTATTACCTGTTCCTCAGCGCTGTCTATGACAAGTAGATCTGCACCTTCAGCGATGCAGGCTTTTCTGCTTTCTGTCCAGTTTTTCTTCAAGGTTGAGACAAAATAACAGCTTATGTCAAACCTTCTCCAGTGGGCCTGACAAGGAATGCCTGCAAATTCATCACATGGAAAAAATATCCAAAAGATGAAGAATACCACAATGGAGATAATTTTAGTAAATTTAAGCTGTAACATAGGAAGCATACCGCTTAGTTTAGTGGTCATCCTTTTGACTTTCGATTGTAACTCTTCTCTAGCTGTAGTCAAGCGACTGTAGTTGGTTTGTAATTGTTCCTTTTCCTTCCTCAAAGTATTATACCTGGTTTGAAGTTGCTCTTTGTCTTTCCGCAGGGTGTTATAGCTCTGGTCAGTTTGAAGTTTGTTTCTATTCAGACTATTGTAGCTTCTTTGTAACTGGTCTTTCTCCCTCTTTAACACAGTGTAATTACCTTCTAGCTGGACTTCTTTTACTCTCAGTGCAGTAAAAAGAACGCTTAATGCATCCTTTTCTCTTTGGAGGTTATTGTAGCTGGTTTGTAGCTGCTCTGCAGTTGCTGTCAGATTATTGTGATTAGTCTGTAAGCCCTCAAGCTTCCTCTGCATGTGAGTGTAGTTTGTCTCGAATTGATCTCTCTCTTGTTTTAAGTTGATGAAATTTGTTTGTAGCCGGTCCTTCTCATTTTTCACATTGCTGAAATTGGCCTCCAGCTCATCTCGTTTAGTAATCAAATAACTGTAATAGTGCTGCAGCTCATCTTTGTCTTTTGTGAGGTTGCTCAGTATGATCTTTAACTGTCTAGTCTCCTTACTCAAAGCATCATAACTGATCTCCAGTCTGTCCCTCTCTGCAGTCAGGTTGTCATTATCATTTTGGAGTTTCTCCTTATTTTGAGTGAGTGTATTGTGATATGGCTGTGTTTGGTCTTCTGATTTAGGATGGATGATCTCATCTGTGAAATTTAAAAAATAAAAATAATATTTTGCCGGATTCAATTGATTATCATGAACTGGATGTAAAAGCAACAAAAAAGGGGTTTATTTTTATTGAATAAAACTAAACAACTTACAGAATATAAATTGACTTATGTTACTGCACAACAGGACAGCACACAGTAATCCGAGGCTCACAGTGACACCTCTGAGGATCTGGTTTCTTCTGCGAAAATTCACTGTTTTGTAAATAAGAAAACAGACATTTTTCAAATTAAACTACAAACAAATATATCATTAGACAAGTAAAATTGGTTAAAAAAGTCTTAAGTTAAGTTTTAGAATTTTTGAATCCATTTAAAAATCTTTAAAACATGCTTTACCGTGTAATTATGTATTACTGAGCATAGACCAGCATGATATTGGTCCTTTTATGAATTAAACAAGAAATTTATTATTCAATAAGGTGTTCGCAAACCAAAGGTGTCTTAAGCAATGAAATACACACACACACAAAAGTGTGACGTTATTCAGTTTGAAATTTAAGCTGAAAAACAGGTTTGCATTTTATTTTGTCTACCCACTAGTTCTGTCTGCGGGTTTTGGGGGTGATACTGTACCTTGAGTGATGAGATTGCCGTCCATATATAATAAGGTGTCATCAATTTCCATTGTGTCCATTAATGTTCTGGATTTTTTTCTGTTCAGGTAAGACCTTTGTAGGTTTGGAAATGAAAAACAGTCCTTAAGTTTTCCAGAAGTGCTGATTTTACACTAAACTATACTAACATTCATAAACATTTTTTAATGTTCTAGAGAAAGTTCACATTCAATTATCTAAACATTAAATAGTTTTTAAACCTGCACTTACCTCGCACTTAGCTAAATACGCACAATAACAGTGAATTCAAAAAAGATTCTGCCACTGACCAATAAAAAATGAATGTTAACTCAGTATTATTTATTGTAGTGAAAAAGGGATGTCCCACATCATCAAGCACTTGACATAAACTGATTGGTTGAAAACGAAACTATGCAAAATCCACTGGATGTCTACATTCCCACATTCAAAGTACTTCCCACTCAGACTTAATAGAAATAGCTAAGGTTAAATACAACGAAGTAGTGACTGGGATTTTTTTCTCTTTGACTGACCTGATCGTTTTCAGACTTCCACCTTCTGTGATTTCTGTTCCCTTTTCCCACAGATTAAGTTCTCACAGAGGTTAAATAACTGAGAGTGTGAATGTGCTGAGAAACAAGAAATAAATAGAAATGGAAAACTGCTCACATATTCTGTCCACATTTCCCATCAATATTATGTGACAGAGACATATATACAGGAACTCAGGGCAAAGTTGTACATATTTGTAAGTAAGAGATCAAAGAAAACTGTATGGTAAATTCTGGATTAGCTTGCTAGGTTTTTTAGCTAGCTTGCTAGTATTACAGTAATAAGTAGATATTTTATTATATATACATAGTATTTTCCCTCTCCTAGTTTAACATTAGTACAGTGGCTAATTACACCTAAAAGTTAAGTTGGTTTACAAATTTAAAAACACATTTTTTAAATCAAATTTGTGCTAGTTTAATTCTATCAAGCACAGAATTAAATCAAAAACCATTGTTTTAATAAATTCACATTTTAAAAATGTCATTTTAGTCAGAGAGCTTTGCATAAGTGTTGATTACCTTTACAGAAATTTTAAAAAATATTATTGTAATTACGTGTACTCAGCAGCAGTGGCAGCACAAACCTTACATTGGGTGGTCTATGTTCTGGACAAAGACCACTGATGCTGTGCCTGGAATCTGCTGCAGCCACTCTTCTAGTTTCAGGATTACATCTCCTAATGCCTAATGGTCCTATTACCACTGGGACTACTTTGGACTTTACTTTCCACATCTGCACTATTTTCCATTACTCCTTCTTCCTGATGTTGCTTTCCACTTACATTACCACATCATCCTATCATTCTGCTTGTCTGTACGGTCAGCAGCCTGACTCTGGTAAACACCTCACTTAGGTTTCTTAGCTGCCCGTCACCACTACCTCCAAGCTAACCTAACAGCTTGTCAGAATCAGAAAAGCAGATGAATGAAAAACAGCCTTCAATACACCACTCAGCCACTACTAATATCTGGTTATGCCATTCATAGCAAACGCTGTTTAAAGGTGTCATAAACAATGTCTTAAGAGCTTTCCCTGCCTGTCTCATTCTCTATTTTTTATTCTTCTCTAAGGACCTCAAGGAGCACTCCATAAATGCACGGCAGATACTGTTAAGAATTTGGGGGAATTAACTGTTCGCGAAGGTTGAAAAATGTGAATTTCATTCTAAATCTGTCACATTTTTGGCAACATTGGTGAGAATTGGCAGGTGAAGACAGATCATTCCATGATTCCACATCAGATGAAACATATTGGTTTTGGAATTCATTGGGCTGTCCAGGCTGTACCAGTGCCTGATCAACAAGGTAAGAAAGAAACCATCTTCTCCTCTTTAAGAAAACCTTCTGACCTCTGATTGGTTTTGTAACTTTTGGTTTGTCTTTTTTCATTTAAGCTTTATTTGCAATAGTAGAAACAGTACGAGTTCTGCTATCATCCACCCCCATCACCACCTCTGCATGTTTTTAAATGCATCAAACAGGACATGAATTTTAATGCAGTGAAAGTCTCTGTGGATGCAGTTGTGTAAGCTCTGAATTTGAAAGTGTATTCAATCACTTCTAGATCTGGTTCAACAAGATTTCATGTTGCTGAATTTTTGGATCAATATTAAATAGATTTAGGCAGTTTAGTTTTACACAGGGTCTCTATCATCAAAATATAAGACTGATCCTTTGTGTCCTTATTTTCCACCTTCAAGCAGTTTTAGTTTAGGATGAATCATGGTTAATTTTATGTTAATAAAGAATTGAAAAAATAAAAAATCATATGGAACAGTAAAGACAAGTTCTGTAAATTACACTCTATTATATTTAGGAAATCTGTAAAGTTATAGCAGCGGTGATGACATGAGAACCTTTTTGTTTGTATTTGTACAAAATACAAACAAATACAAAATTTAAACTTTTTCAATTCAAATGGTGACTGCGTCCCATTGACCACTGTAAGACTGTCAGTGAGGCCAGTCCAGGCATTTTGCCTTTGACACCTGTCCAGTAATCCACTGACAAACAGCTGTTAGAGTTGCACAAATAGAAGTCCAGTTGATATATTTACTAAGACTTATATGAAAATTGAAACATTTAACAGTGGGAGAAAGAGGGCACGGCAATTAGCCATTGTAGAAGGTCCTGAGTTTGGGACCAGGGCTCTTCGCTGTGGAGTTTGTATGTTCTCCCTGTTTTTGCACGTGTTCTCTGTGTACTCTGGCTTCCTTCTGCAATCAAGACACATGCAATTGTTGTGGTTAGAACTAGTGATTATAAATTGCCCATAGATTTGAATCTGAATGGTTGTCTGTCTCTCTGTTTTTAGTCTTGTGTCAGACTGGTGACCTGTTGAGGGTGTACCCTGCCTCTCTTGAGTCCAGCCATCAGGTCAGAAAGGGAACATGGCAGTTCAGGGGGGCAGCAAAGGGGAAACAACTCAACAGTAGACACAGAGTTGGATCTGGTCAGATGGTCAATGGCAGAGATGGAGCAACTCTGGGTCCTGACCGGGTGGCCAGTGATCGAGACACAGCAGCTCCGATAAGAAATTGATGGCTGAGGAAATGAGACTCCCTCGGATGCAAAATGAACAGCCAGCGGCTCAGCCTCACAAGGGACTAGCTTGAAGGCCAGTGATGGATTCACTCATGAGGCCAAGGAGGCAGCCAGTGATGACTGACTGGGCACCTTAGGAAGCTTGAAGGAGAGTGATGGAAGTGAATGAGACCCTCTGGAGGTTCCAAAGGAAGCTGACTCTTAGTGGGCTAACGTTGGCTAAAGCCACAGGACACCTCTGGTTTGGCTAAAGGCTGGCATCGGGGCAGGTGACTGGACACTTCTGGTGGCTTGACGGGGGGATGACAACTGTAGTGGAGGCAGGACCCTCTCTGAAGACTGGCAACAAAGGAGATGGAACTCCTCTGGCTCAGGTCTCTCAGGTAGTGAGGGATTTATGGTGTCCAATTCTGCTGCTTCCTGCTATCCCAAATTCAGTGGTGTCAAAATGACTACAATAAACTTGAACTTAATGTTTGTATGTCTGATAACTTACACAATCTTTCTCCAAAAGATCTGAGCACAAAGAGAAAAAGATAAGGTTTCTTCAAAGGTAAGTGGAGAAATGCAATGCAGAAAAGACTGACGCATGCATGATCATCCACACGTAAAGCATACTGTATATACACACGCAGGATAGGAGAGAGACGAGGCAGAGAGTACAGAGAAATTGCAGGTTCACATAGCGAGGACAATGACAACATCCATTGTTTATTTATAGTCACTGTGTGGTACTGGAGCCTTTTTTTGATGTAGGATCATAAATGCCAGCACAAAATTTAACTACAATCGATCTAAAGTGAGTGACTTCCTCCTACACCAACTTGAGCACTTTAGCAAAAAAAGATATTTGTATTAAAATGCATACTGGTAATTAAACAGGAACAAAACTTTTTCTTTGTGACTTTTTTGACTTTGTGTTCTTATAAAATTCACAAGCAATACTTTGAAATTAGACTTAATTTGCATGCTTTTTGACCTCCTAGAGTTTTGAATTTCTTTCATTATCACAGCACATTTCTCATCCAAAGACCCTGATGCACAAGTTCTTACTGAACAAGTCCCAAGTTTAATCTGAGAACAATGTCAATGCTTCATTAAAAACAAGCCATTTGCAGGCGATCTGCATTCCTCAAAATTTTGTGCAGCTTCAGCCCAGATACAGCTCCAGTGGCAGCTGTTACAAACTGCTAGAAAAAAAGATTTGGAGAAACGTGACCACAAAAATAAAAAGTGCCATTTGTCAAAATTTTTAAAATGACAGAGACGGCTGTCAAGCTGACATGTGCCAGGAGTCCCAGCAGCTGATGTTTTGATTTTTCTCACTGCTGCATTAGACATTGTCGGGAAAAGACAGGCTGTCAGGCCAGCTGTGCTGTTTTTATGTATTGATCCCTCTCTCCATGTGGAACACTTAGCTCCGTCTCTTTACTGTTGTAGGAAACAGAGTGCTGAGTATTTCTCTGGCTCAGACTGAACTGATTGAACGCCTTCGCAGAAAAGCACTGAGTGCTGAATTAATACTTTGCTGAGGTTATCTTCAGGACTGTAGGTGCATTCAGTAGATTGCGGATACATCACTTGCAATAACAAAATTATATGTATATTATAATCATAATATTCATATAATAACTTAAATGCTTCTTTTATAATTATCAGATGGATTATATGTAGTTTTTTCCTGTTTTATCCCATAAAAGAAGCTTTTATTTATTTTTTAAACTATTTTTCTTATTCCATTTACATTCTTTAAATTGTTTGGTAAGCTGCCCAAGTTTGCATTAATCTACACTGATCTGACAACCAGATGGATCTCATGAGGAAATGTCCCAATATGCCATCAGCTCCCACCCCGTATGCAATCCCAAGACAAATCTGGGAAGTTAAAAGATGAATGAAGGCACAATTAGTTATGTTTAATCTTCCAGAATCTATTATTTCCAATCTCCAAAATCCAATTAAAACCGGCTGCTGGATTTGGTGGCTCTTTCCTTTGTGAACTCAACAATTAATTACCCTGAGCCTGATTCTGTCAGAAGTTTCTTCCTGTTAAGAAAAAGTTTTCACTCTCAACGAGAGTGATCAAATGATTTTCATAGGTAATGACTGTTGCTTTGAAGTGATGCTATATGAAGGCAGTTGTACTGCTCTGCATCTACTGCGGTCTGTAGATTCTGTAGTCAATAACAAAAATATTAATTGAATTTGTTCAAAATCATGACTGTTTATA